TCAACCGTCCAATCACGATTTGGGGCAATCTGACCCACTCCTCTTGCAGTGCCACGGCCAATTCTTGCAGTGTTGTCGGTTGACGTTGACGTCGATTAACACGTCTCCCGATCAAATTAAACGTAACACACTAAAGCAAAGATACGCTAAACAGTAAATCTTATGCAAGAACCGATAGGAATGCTAACATAGATAGATAAACCAGCACGCGGCAGTTTTCATCAACCCTTGCTTAAAGTGTCAAATTTGACAATGAACCCCTCCCACGTGTATGGCGCTATTGCGTGTCGCATGTGCAGCTCAGTGGTTCTGTTGGGGCGATAAGTTCTACATCTGTGAACATGTCATCATTGGAAATCCCCAGAGTTAAATGTCCATCATTGTAGAAGGACGTTAAATTTCGTATCATTTCTATTGTACCCTAAGGTCTACTACCAACATGAGTGTCGTAGAAATATTTGGAGTAAATGTATATTAATATATGTTTCAGTAAGGCAATCTCTGTAAACCTTCTCAAAAATCTTTCAACCTTCGAAAAAATGACAAAAAAAACCCCCACAAGGGCCCTGTGGAGGTGAGTGTCCCCGGGTCGCACAAATTCAAAATAATAGTCTTAACTTAAAGGGCCAGTGATGTTGCCGACAAAATTGTCATCTTGTGTCTAATATTGTTAATAATATTCTAGTTATGAATTATTTATTGTATGTATATAATTATGGTGTTGGCAGAACTGGTTTTTAATGAAGTATAGAACGAGGCGTTAAACATAGATATATACCATACGATTATTTATAGCTAGAATAATACAGGCAACCATCTTAACAGCTGTTAAATACATCAGATAATCTGTTACTTTCATTTAATTAAAAAATACATGTTCACTTGGGGGCTCTTCTGCTCGCTGACACAAATCATTAGGTCTTGTTCGATTTCGGTACATTTTAATTCAACCATGTTATTGCCATATGGCACTATATGTATTATACCGGTGGTAATAAAACTGGGGGAAATGCAACGAAAATTGCTTTATTTGAAATGTATTTTAAAGACAGAGAATCACTAACAACGATGTATATATACCAATGATGTGATCACCTACCGGGGATTGTTTTATTTTTTTTCTTTCTCAGACACGTGTTATTTCGTAGAATTTAAATCGTTAACATTTTCAAGAGGCTTTAGTGGTTTATTAGTTGGTAAAATAATATTTGACCCTATGTCTCTTAAGTTATATAATGTTCTTTCAAATTAAATTGTATCAAAAGTTTCCGGCAGATTTTTTAAACCTTTGCTGAGATTTATGTTTTAAGATATTTTATATTTGGCTTTCAAGGACTTCAGCAGACGCTCGTCCAAATTGCTTCATGTAGGTCAGTGTTTTGAATTGTGACATCTCGGTGAGTCGAGGTTTATTTTGAATATTATATAAAATTAATTACATTTATTTCCTTTTTGAAAGTGATAATGTAAATAAATTTAGAGTATATCACATTACTTTCCTGCTAAAAATGACATTTCTTCTTTAAAATCTCAAGCACTGAAGCATTGACAACCTTCATGACCACATGCACAGGGCTGTCGGTGTGAGCATGTTTCCTTGTCTGGCAAACTACTACCTTTCTGTTAACGATGCAAGAGCAATTTTTCACAAAATGTATGTCTGCAATCATAGTAAATGTACCCTATATTTATTTACTAGATTAAAATGTATTTCATCGGTTAATTTATCTTACAATATAATTATATATTTTACTATTTGCATTTCATAGGTTTGTTAAGTTCACATGTGCAGATTCGATGCAAATCCATAATATATGCAAATAGAGATAATTATTTTAACATATGTTTTGATGGCTTTAAGATAGATATTGAAGTTAAACGTACTGGACTTCAACCTGCTAATAACTACACCTGTTCTATCTTATAATATATAAAATATGGGTTTTACTACCATCTTATTATATCTATATGTCCCTGAATAACCCTCGTTATATACAGGCAAAATATTTATACTATATTAGATTTAATCTCCACTAAATCTCACTTCTATACGAACATATTACAATATAAATATTTATCACGAATTGTAAATAAATGATAAAAAAAGATGTTGAAGCAACGTAAAAATGAAAAGTAAAGTGGCTAACATAGATAAAAGATAGCGTCTACTCAATGTAGATAAATACATATATGTGTATAGAATGAGATGCAGAGATAGGAGAGGAACTTTTAAATACCAAAAGTTCAAAATCAAAAGGAATCAAATGGATGATTAACGCCTCAACAACACAATACCGCGGTCATTTTAGGTAGTTTTAATCATGTGGTTACTGTTTCTAGCCATTGGGGGTTCTTTTACATAAAAGTTAATGTGGCCACGGGTGGGCCCGAGGTTTTTCGTCCGACCCAAAGACTAGATACACTTTCAGTGTCCGCTCTATGGGCCCCCTCAGACAAATGAAAACTTAAAAGGCTATTTATCAGCCCACGCCGGAATTCTAACCCAGTCGGCAATCCAGTGCCCTGGCAGCCCCAGTACTAGCCACCGGGTCCGCCCTTCGTCAACGACGCTAGAATGTTACCAATAACAAGATTAGTCTCAGATATTAGTTTAATAAGTAATCTGTTTAAAATACAAAAACTGCAGATTTTTCTGAATCGATGGATAACGTGAGTTTAATTTCTACTGGTGGGTTTCTAATTTTCATTTTGATATAAACGTACAACAAATTTTTGTTAGTCACGTTAAATTACCCAGGTGAGATACCAGGTGTTCACAGCAATGTATTGGAAACATGTACGGTTTATCAGACGGTTTATCAATATATACTATTCAAAAAAAGTAGGGGATATTTGATTTTGGGGGCATAATACTAAAATATGCAAATGACTACGAAAAAAGTCACTATAGAACCTAACAGAAGAAACATTTCCAGTTACATGTGACGCCCAAACGCACCAATAGCTACCGCATGGAATGCATGTGATGCTTGGGATCATCATGGGGGTCCAACCCAAGATTTGCACGACTCTGACTTTGAATGTTACAGTCATTGTGGCATTGAATTCCAGGGTGGAAACATCAGTTTAATTATTTTAGTGACCAGAAATCAAATTTTGATATGCGTCGGCTAACCCAAAATGAAAGGTTACGTGCCCTTGGCATGCTACAGATCGGCACAACACAGGCGGTTGTGGCGCGGACGATGAATGTTTCTCAGTCTGTCATAAGCAGGCTATGGTCCAGATACCGTGATACACAATCTGTACAGGACAGACCACGCTCAGGTCGACCAAGGGCGACAACTCAAGCCCAGGATCGATTTATCCGTACCTTGGCCTTGAGAAATCGTGTCATCACAGCAAATCAGATCAGCGCTCGTCTTCAAACAGACACTGGTGTGAGAGTGAGTGGCCAGACGATTCGGAATCGACTGCATAGGAGTCACCTTCGCGCCCGACGTCCTCGCGTGATCCCTTGTTTGAGAGATCATCACATTCAGGCAAGACGTCGTTGGTGTAGGGATCGTCAACACTGGGATAATCGACGCTGGAGCAATGTGATGTTTTCAGATGAGTCAAGGTTCACTGTTGATTTTTTGGACAGACGTAGGAGGGTGTGGCGTCGTCGAAACGTGCGCTTCCAAGACGTTAACGTCATCAGACATGATCGATTTGGGGGTGGTTCTGTTATGGTGTGGGGAGGCATCACTGTTGCTGGAAGAACGGCTTTACATGTTGTTGCAGGGCGTGTTACAGGCCAGTACTACCGGGACAACATCTTGGCAGTCCATGTTGTGCCGTTCGCACGACGTCATGGCCGCCGTTTCATCTTCCAGGATGACAACGCAAGATGTCACAGGGCCAGGATCGTTACAGGTTACCTCCAACAACAGAACATCACCACATTACCTTGGCCAGCACTGAGTCCCGACCTCTCCCCCATCGAGCATGTCTGGGACATGCTTGGACAGAGGTTACGTCAGCGTCAACAACGTCCTGCCAATGTCCAAGAACTTGCTGCTGCGTTGCAACAGGAATGGGACAATCTGGACCAAAATGACCTTAGACGTCTCATTAGGAGTATGCCACGTCGGATCAATGCTTGTTTGGCAAACAGAGGAGGATTTACCCGTTACTGACTTGGTTGTGATGCTGTGGTAACTTTGCTGTTTGACCCCGGGTATCATTTTACCCTTATAATGGCCAGTCTGTGCCTTACTTAGTCTAACGATCATTTGGAATAAATCGATGAATGTGAACTTCATTTCATTTTGTCATTTGTTTCTTCGTCAGTTTCATTAGGTGACTTTAATAACAATTAAAAAATCAAATATCCCCTACTTGTTTTGAATAGTATATATATATATATATATATAGATGGTCCGTGTCTATAATGGGGGCATTTTGGCCAGATATAGACATATATATATACCCCCCCCCCCCCAAATGTTTGTGAGTATATTTACCTTTAAATTGTTCAATTATTGGTAGTTTTGAAGTCGACTAACCATAATAATTTGAATATACAAAAAAACCCAATATATTGTGAGTATATTTACCTTTAAATTGTTCAATTATTGGTAGTTTTCAAGTCGACTAACCATAATTATTTGAATAGTCAAATAATTCAAAGGAACGACTATCGTAGATGTGTTTCAATTTGGGATATATTAAAACTATGGCGAATAGCCCCAGCACTAACTGATATGGAATAGACCAGCTTTACTTTCTTTGTATAAGCTTTGTATTAGGAACTTCTTACATTCTGTAATTTAGCGACTGACTACCATAACATTAAACGTAATCAGGTAATGTGTACTGAATTCCTTATCCCGAGATCAAGAAGATTTTAACAATACAGCTATTCTCACAACAATACATTGTTTAATTTGAACATTGGCGTAAAGTTGACCAGTTAACATTGGGTCCACATCGTAATAAAAGGATGGCGGAAACATGGTAATTAATTCATGGAGATCATAAAAGCTAATTAATACCTGTGTTGTTTGTCAGACACTTCCAGATTTTCTCTCCATCAGGTTTAGTATCAAGAAAACAATATTGCCATAGTCCAAACACTAATAACTGACCACTAATTGACCACGATGTTGTTGCCAAGGCCACTAAATAGCCAGCCGCTGCCAACAATAGTAGAACTAGGGAAATGGCGAATTGGCCAGAATGGTTCATGATGACCGTCTCTAGGCTACATGATGATCAGTCTGAAATTTAAAAAGAAATGGAATTTTAATAGCGTTTACATGGTAAAGTATGGTATCCTTTGAAACCTTATTGTTGAATGTACCCACAAACTGCCACCAGGACCTATCTAACCTTATTTACCCTCATCAAACGCCATATATAATGTTACAGTTAACGTTTTAGCTCGGAAGAATTGGTGGTCAGATTCTAAAATCGTTTAAAAAAATTTATTTATCAAGGATTGGAGTTTTGTCTCACGAGTTATACCCATAAATTCATAAGAAGTTTTATTGCCCAAAATTAATATTGGTATTTGACCATCTATATTTGGATGTGAATCTGAATTTAAGACCAATGATCTGACTTGTAAAAAATGAATTTCAATACTTCAATGTCCTACGTTTGTCACAAAGGACAAATTGAAATAGTAGGACGTTAAACCCAATCCAAGTCAGTTAAAGTTGTTCAACCTATATAGGCTGTACTGTACATTTACATACAGATCTTTGAAATCCAATTATAATAGTGTTCAGATTTTCATGTGGACGTATATTGTCGTCGCACCTGTCCGTCCGGACGTCCGTCTGTCCAAATTTTGTTTGTGGACACTCTACAGGTCATATTTTTTTATTCAATTTTGACAAAACTTAAAATATTGGTCTATCTCCAAAAGATATCGGTTCCTTTCAATGTTGGCCTATATCGGACCATAACTTCATAGATTATGGCCCCTGATTTTACGAAAAATCACGTTTTTAGTTTGTGGACACTCTAGAGGTCTCAATTTTCATCTGATTTTGATTAAACTTGAAACCCAAAAATCTCGGTTCCTGAATTATGACCCCTGATTGTACGAAAAATCGCGTATTTAGCTTGTGGTCCCTCTAGAGGTCACAATTATTATCCGATTTAAATGAACTTGAAATACATGTTTCAAAGATCTTGGTTCCCTTTATCTTGTTCTCTATCCATCTCTTGCAAAATGTAGGCGTATCTTGCCTGGCAGCCGCGGGTTGCTTTTACTGACCATAGGGGCAAACGCACAGAACCAGGATTTGTGTTGTTCCAATAGTATAAGCTATAAAACGTATAAATGTTTTTTACTTAAAAGAAGGTTTTGACATTTACATCTGACATGACATGATTTGAGTTAATCAAATGTTGACAAGATGTCACCAACTGAACTCATTCAAAATTTCTAGTCTAAACTATACTGTAATTGTCTTTCATTGATGTTGGTATATTTAAAAAGGAGGACACGAATATCACTCAACGTTAACTTAAAAAAAAGTGATGTAATTGCCGGGATACGGCAAGCTTGAAACCCATCACAAAAAGTTGAGACAATACTCAGTTTCAGAAGAAACCTTAAACAGTGTGTTCAATTATGTATCTGAAGCAAGTATATAAGTATACAGCCCCAATACGTTTTCAAGACACTTTCAAGCTATATCTGATGAAACGCATATATTACATTATCCTGTATTGTATATTATATTACATGTCCCTCAACAGACCAATGGTATTAAATCCAACACATAGTACATTGTATGGATGAAACAGGACGCCAACCAAACATTAAACGATTGAATATATTAGAAAGAAAAGTGTTTCTCATTTGTTTTTATCATTTAGATATGTTATACTTGGGGAATTGATGCCAAGAATATACAACTTTGTTTTATGTAACAACAATCCAGCGACACGAGGAATTCACCCTAAAACATTGCACTCATAACATAAACTTTGCAGAAAAACTCAGAGATGAACTCATCACAAGAAATCCAACATTTTTACATGACTGAAACAACTCGGGGTGAATCTGGTAAGACGTTTTATCAAGACTGTTTTGAAATTGACATGTTTCAATCACGTTATATATTTCCATCTGTCAGTCAAAAATGGCACGATATGCGTATAGACCAAAATAATACACCTCGTTTCTTATTAGTATCCTCAGGCTTTGTTTATTATGATAAGCTATACTAAAGATAATATTCCCGAGTTCGAGTTCATCGTTGAAGTTCCCACCTATCGTCAAAGGCTCATCGTGTTTAAACGTCGTCAAATTACTTACATATTATGGTGCTTTAATCTACTACACGTTTGTCCAAATTAAAACAGAAAAGGCTGTCAATTGCAACCTCAAAACACTTTTTTACTTAAGAAAAACGAAAATGAAACTCAAATATAGTTTAAACTTACAACAATAACAACCTAATTACGTTTTTTTTATCTGTCGCGGTATATTTAACTTTTGGAAAGCATTCCCGCGTACACACTGGGCAATTTGATGATGTATTTAGATTAAAAACAAATTCAAACTAAATTATCTATCAAAAGTTTACTTCAAACCCCCTTCAAAACATTTCAATTGCAAGAAAACAACCCCGTGATGCAAGAATTTATTTGAAGAAACCGTGTTTGTTATGTAACTTGATTGATGAAGAACCCATTCCCCCAGCTTTTGTCTGTCGTTAGCCGCTGTCCATTTACTATTGAAGCCTAAGAAAATACTTGGATTATCCCCTGTCAACTTCTTTTTCTGCCGTTTAATCGTAGAAACCACTGAACATTGTCCACACAACCGCTAGCCATTCGATCGACGCATATATGAAGTACCCCTTACGTCAGTCGCGAAGGTCGACTGCAAATTTCTTTCTTGTAATTTTTAGAGTGTACTTTTCATATATACCATACTTTTATTGGAAATAACTACCCGGGAATGTATCTTTAACATATAATTCAAAATAACTACAAACTGGAGCAGACTTAACAAACAATATATATACACAGTTAGCATTCAAAAGATAAAAAATAACTCAAACAAAAACTACTAAGACAGTTCACTTTAAACAAGCGGATTCTAGCCCCTATTACACTACTACTACTAATAAAAATAAGTTCCACTTAAAGTAGCTCTATAATGTCAGCAGTGTTATAAGCACAAACTTTTAAAATTACATAATTGATATTTAATGGTGCGTCTGACAGTATCTGCAGGTAATCACCCCAATGTTTCCTTGAGTGGTGGTGGTGTGTATGTGTGTTTGGGCCCTTAATATTATGACAGCCAAAATGCTAGCCAGGAATTTCTTCAAGAACTTCTGAAAACGACCTTTTGATCTAGACAAAACTGTTTAATCTGAAACGAATCGATTTGCGCGATAGGGGATAGTGCTATTTGGGACATCGTACATCTTGATACCCGAGTGAGTATATTATGATATACCGTACCAAATTAAATGTGTCATTTCCGATATGCAAGCAGTTATGGGTTTAACGTCCTACTAACGAAGACACGGGGTTACGCCATACAGTGTGCTGTGAGCAGGGCCCTGGCAAAGATACATGGTCAGCGTCATTTTGGCGTATATCTGGGGTAACGGAAGGTTACTTTGCTAAAACACAGAAACTGAGATTTAACACAACATAAGACATACCAAATACTTGGACCACTCACAAGCCCTGACAATGAGTGAAAGTTTGCCAGGGCAGCGACTTTACGACTTACTCTTATTTTAAACTCCAACTTTCGAGGGTTGCTTCGCAACTAACATCTAACTACAACCCTATTCTAATCTCCTGATTAATTAACAGTATTAAGAAAATTATTGAAACGCCAAACAACTATCTGGTTTCTAATTATCTTATATATTTTCATCGTATTATTTAATGGTACTGGCATGCGTCACCGAATCAAATGCGGGAAAAGTAATAACACACCGAGTGTTTTCGGGTATAACATGAGGAGAAATTGATTCTTGACACTAATTGGCACCCACAACTATAAGATTTTATTTACATTTGAGTGCCATGTTTTTCTCGCTTCATGGTTAAAGTTACAATAATACCGTAGCCTAGCATATACCTACAGCAATTTATTATAGTCTTAAAAAGAGACATTCATACTTGCATGGGTTTGACTATCTCTATATTCCACATTATTTTAAAATTACAAAATATCATTTAATAAAGTTAAAGTTAAAGTTACAATAATACCGTAGCCTAGCATATACCTACAGCAATTTATTATAGTCTTAAAAAGAGACATTCATACTTGCATGGGTTTGACTATCTCTATATTCCACATTATTTTAAAATTACAAAATATCATTTAATAAAGAGCGTTGCACAATATTCTAGATTAAATGATACCCCCCCCCCCCCCCACACACACACACACACCACACCAAATACTCGGCGTCCATCATACCTATTGGTCCAGCAATCAAATAGATCAATCCAAGATCATTACTTCAAGACAAATGATTGATGGTCGTTTAGAGAATTGATGCTTTAGTTTAAGATATTTATTTAGTACTAGTGTAAAGGTATGTCAAATAAAGAGTATATGAAATGAAATGGGGCCAACGTCCTACTTTTCTGTAGCAACGGAGCTGCCAAGTTGCTCCAAGCAGTGCGCAAGGGTTCGCAGCGTTTCCTCCTATACTCTTCATTGAATTCCAACTATCAAGGGTTCTTTGACGTGTAGCCAACGTGTAAACTGGTGCGTATGTTTTTATACTATTAGCATGACTAAACATCGTTTGTTACTTTCTACATTCAATGTCATTCACAACTGATATGAAGCAACAGGGATGAAAAATACAGTTTATTTTAGGGTAAAGATCATTTGGGGAAATGCGGTTACCGCTTCATTTACAAGCCTGTGCATATGTACGGAAATAACTCGTTTTTCATGCCATTATCAACATTTTACCCAAAACACACTCGATTCGCACCGATCCACCACATTCGATGGTACAGTTCTGGACTAGACTCAGTTTCCGAAGCGGAAGCAAAATATTTTGCTGGATTTTCTAGAATTAGATGAGCCCAGCGATGCTATTTTATATGTTGTTTAGATAATCGCATTGTGTTCTTATCGACGTTGTAAATTTAATTAATTTTGAATAATATCGTATTCAAGCTAACCACACAGATTCGCTAAATTGTCGAAAATCTAACCACCGACATATTCAGAGTAAGATATTTTGTGCCTGCGCTCGTTAAAGAT